CACCACCACCAGCAACCCCCCACCACCACCAACCCCCACCACCACCACCTCCACTACAAAACCACCACCAACCACCCCCACTACCACCACCACCACCAACCCCCCACCACCACCAACCCCCACCACCACCACCAACCCCCACCACCACCATCAACCCCCACCACCACCACCACCTCCACTACAAAACCACCACCAACCACCAACCACCCCCACTACCACCACCACCACCAACCCCCCACCACCACCAACCCCCCACTACCACCACCACCACCACCAACCACCACCACCACCTCCACTACAAAACCACCACCAACCCCCACCACCACCAACCACCCCCACTACCACCACCACCAACCCTCACCACCACCCCCACTACCACCACCAACCCCCACCACCACCAACCACCCCACTACCGCCACCACCACCACCAACCCCGACCACCACCCCCAGTACCCCCACTACCACCACCCCCACTACCACCACCACCCCCACTACCCACCACCATTACCCCCTCCACCACCACCACCAACCCCAACCTCCTCCCCACGTCTCACAGAACCCCTGGGCGCAACTGCAGAGCCACAATGGGGCTCGCGCCTGTCATAGGGGGTGGTCTCGCATCTGTCAACGTTCATTCACAGCCATCCACTCTCCTCTCTCTCTCCTCTCTCTACTCTCTCTACTCTCTCTTCTCTCTCTCTCCTCTCTCTACTCTCTCTTCTCTCTCTCCTCTCTCTCCTCTCTCTACTCTCTCTCCTCTCTCTCCTCTCCATCTCCCCTCTCTCTCGCTCGCTTTATACACAGGCATCTACCCCCCCACCACCACTAACCCACCCTCCCACCCCTCCCTCCCCCCCACCTTCTCACTTCAACAAAAACCAAGACAAAGAACCCCCCCCCCCCCGGTTATAGCCTTGACAGACTATTTGGATAAGTGCCAGAGCTCCTCATCCATAGATATCCTGAACCACAGAGCTCCTGAACCATAGAGCTCCTGAACCATAGAGCCCCTGAACCACAGAGCTCCTGAACCATAGAGCCCCTGAACCACAGAGCTCCTGAACCATAGAGCTCCTGAACCATAGAGCCCCTGAACCATAGAGCCCCTGAACCATAGAGCTCCTAAACCACAGAGCTCCTGAACCATAGAGCTCCTGAACCACAGAGCTCCTGAACCATAGAGCTCCTGAACCACAGAGCTCCTGAACCACACAGCTCCTGAACCACACAGCTACTGAACTACACAGCTCCTGAACCACACAGCCCCTGAACCACACAGCTACTGAACCACACAGCTACTGAACCACACAGCTACTGAACCACACAGCTGCTGAACCACAGAGCTCCTGAACCACACAGCTACTGAACCACACAGCTACTGAACCACAGAGCTCCTGAACCACACAGCTACTGAACCACACAGCTACTGAACCACACAGCTACTGAACCACAGAGCTACTGAACCACAGAGCTACTGAACCACACAGCTCCTGAACCACACAGCTACTAAACCACAGAGCTACTGAACCACACAGCTCCTGAACCACAGAGCTCCTGAACCACAGAGCTACTGAACCACACAGCTCCTGAACCACAGAGCTCCTGAACCACAGAGCTACTGAACCACAGTGCTACTGAACCACACAGCTCCTGAACCACACAGCTACTAAACCACACAGCTACTGAACCACACAGCTACTGAACTACAGAGCTACTGAACCACACAGCTACTGAACCACACAGCTACTGAACCACACAGCTACTGAACCACACAGCTACTGAAGCATACAGCTACTGAACCACACAGCTACTGAACCACAGAGCTCCTGAACCACACAGCTACTGAACCACACAGCTACTGAACCACAGAGCTCCTGAACCACTCAGCTACTGAACCACACAGCTACTGAACCCCACAGCTACTGAACCACAGAGCTACTAAACCACAGAGCTCGTGAACCATATATCTCCTAATCCACATATATCCTAAACGATATATTTCCTAAACTACATAGCTCCTGAACCACGTCCGCATAATGCGCAATAATAAAACAGAATCTGTTAATTGAAGTACTGTAGTCGGAGATGTTAACTCCCTCGCCTGGTGTACAGGAGGTAGTGGGTTAGATCCCGACCCTGACGATGCCTGCTGCTGTATAATTGGAGTTTGCGTGTCTCTCTCTCTCTCATCATCATCATCATCACCGTGGCTAGGAGCTGTTGACTACCTCGCCTGGTACGCAGGAGGTCGTGGGTTCGATCCCGACCCTAACGATGCCTGCTGTATATTTGGAGTCTGCGTCTCTCATCATCATCATCACGGTGGCTAGGAGATGTTGACTACCTCGCCTGGTACATAGGAGGTCGTGGGTTCCATCCCAACCCTGACGATACCTGCTGCTGTATAATTGGAGTTTGCGCCTCGCTCTCATCACCATCATCACGGTGGCTAGGAGATGTTGACTACCTAGCCGTGTCTCTCTCTCATCATCATCACGGTGGCTAGGAAATGTTAACCACCTCGCCTGGTACACAGGAGGTCGTGGGTTCCATCCCAACCCTGACGATGCCTGCTGCTGCTGCTGCTATATATTTGGAGTCTGCGCGTGTTTCTCTCTCCCCGTAGATTTTTCTCCGGGTCCTCCGGTTTTTCCCCCTCCACGTTTAAAATCTACGCCGCGCGTTGTTCAGAGTCTTTGGTTACTGCTACGAACGTCCACGTGACAATGATGATGACGCCTTCACTTCGTGTGAGCTATCGTTTGTGTTTACCAGGCACGCTTCTCACAGCATAGCGACGTAGCCGCAGAGTGGGGCTATACCTGGTCAAATTAAATAGCTCAGTTTTAGTGTGGGTCCCTATGGGTTCTCTGTGGGTCTCGGTGGGTCCCTATCGTTCTTCGCGGGTCTCTGGATCTCTGGGTCTCTGTGAGTATGGGCCACGATTGGTCTCTGTGGGTCTCTGTGGGTGTGGATAAGTATGGGTCTCGGATGGGTCTCTGCGGGTGTGGATGAGTGTGGGTCTCTAAGGGTCTCTGTAGATTTCTGACGGTTTATATGGTTCTTTTTTGGTCTCTGTGGGTCTCTGTGGGTCTCTATGAGTATGAGTCTCTGTGGGTCTCTGTGGGCCTGGATGAGTATGGGTCTCTGTAGATTCCTGTGGGTCTCTGTAGTTCTATATGAGTGTCTGGATCTCTGTGGGTCTCTATGAGTATGGGTCTCTGTGGGTCTCTGTGGTTTTATATGAGTCTCTGGATACCTGTGGGTCTCTATGAGTATGGGTCTCTGTAGATTACTGTGGGTCTCTGTAGTTCTATATGAGTCTCTAGATACCTGTGGGTCTCTATGAGTATGGGTCTCTGTGGGTCTCTGTGGGTCTCTGTGGTTTTATATGAGTCTCTGGTTACCTGTGGGTCTCTATGAGTATGGGTCTCTGTGGGTCTCTGTGGGTCTCTGTGGTTTTATATGAGTCTCTGGTTACCTGTGGGTCTCTGTGAGTATGGGTCTCTGTGGGTCTCTGTGGGTCTCTGTGGTTTTATATGAGTCTCTAGATACCTGTGGGTCTCTATGAGTATGGGTCTCTGTGGGTCTCTGTGGGTCTCTGTGGTTTTATATGGGTCTCTGGATACCTGTGGGTCTCTATGAGTATGGGTCTCTGTGGGTCTCTGTGGGTCTCTGTGGTTTTATATGGGTCTCTAGATACCTGTGGGTCTCTATGAGTATGGGTCTCTGTGGGTCTCTGTGGGTCTCTGTGGTTTTATATGGGTCTCTGGATACCTGTGGGTCTCTATGAGTATGGGTCTCTGTGGGTCTCTGTGGTTTTATATGAGTCTCTAGATACCTGTGGGTCTCTATGAGTATGGGTCTCTGTGGGTCTCTGTGGTTTTATATGAGTCTCTAGATACCTGTGGGTCTCTATGAGTATGGGTCTCTGTAGATTACTGTGGGTCTCTGTAGTTCTATATGAGTCTCTGGATCTTTGTGGATCTCTATGAGTGTGGGTCTCTGTGGGTCTCTGTGGGTCTCTGTGGTTTTATATGAGTCTCTAGATACCTGTGGGTCTCTATGAGTATGGGTCTCTGTAGATTACTGTGGGTCTCTGTAGTTCTATATGAGTCTCTGGATCTTTGTGGATCTCTATGAGTGTGGGTCTCTGTGGGTCTCTGTGGGTCTCTGTGGTTTTATATGAGTCTCTAGATACCTGTGGGTCTCTATGAGTATGGGTCTCTGTGGGTCTCTGTGGTTTTATATGAGTCTCTAGATACCTGTGGGTCTCTATGAGTATGCGTCTCTGTGGGTCTCTGTGGTTTTATATGAGTCTCTAGATACCTGTGGGTCTCTATGAGTATGGGTCTCTGTGGGTCTCTGTGGTTTTATATGAGTCTCTAGATACCTGTGGGTCTCTATGAGTATGGGTCTCTGTGGGTCTCTGTGGTTTTATATGAGTCTCTAGATACCTGTGGGTCTCTATGAGTATGGGTCTCTGTGGGTCTCTGTGGGTCTCTGTGGTTTTATATGAGTCTCTAGATACCTGTGGGTCTCTATGAGTATGGGTCTCTATGGGTCTCTATGGGTCTCTGTAGTTCTATATGAGTCTCTGGATAGCTGTGGGTCTCTATGAGTATGGGTCTCTGTGGGTCTCTGTGGGTCTCTGTGGTTTTATATGAGTCTCTGGTTACCTGTGGGTCTCTATGAGTATGGGTCTCTATGGGTCTCTGTGGTTTTATATCAGTCTCTGGATACCTGTGGGTCTCTATGAGTATGGGTCTCCGGCTCTCTATGAGTCTGCTATGAATTCCCACATGGCGGCGGCGATGATGATGATGATGTCGCCACTGCGTGTGAGCTCTCGTTTGCGTTGACCAGGCTCCCTCATGAAAAAAAAGAGCTCACCTAGCAGCTCAATGTTTGGGGCATTACCTGGTTGAAAAATATTTCTATATCATCGATCGGGCGACAGTTTTTTTTGATCGATCGATCGATCGATCCGCTTTGCCCAGGACCTGGAGCTGCTGGAGTCGGTGTGGGAGTTGGCACGCGAGTGGGAGCTCTGCTGGAGCAGCTGGAAGCTGGGCCACTTCGCCTCCCTCGACTGCGTCACCATGGAGGCGACGGCGCACAGCCACCACAGGCAGATGATCAAGCTGGCGCGGGATGCCAAGGTGCGCTCGCTCGTCCCGTCACCCGCTCGCTGGCGCGGTCACCCGCTCGCTGGGAGAGTCACCCGCTCGCTGGCGCGGTCACCCGCTCGCTGGAACAGTCACCCGCTCGCTGGCGCGGTCACCCGCTCGCTGGAACAGTCACCCGCTCGCTGGCGCGGTCACCCGCTCGCTGGGAGAGTCACCCGCTCGCTGGAACAGTCACCCGCTCGCTGGAACAGTCACCCGCTCACTCACCCCGTCACCCACTCACTCACCCAGTCACCCACTCACTCACCCCGTCACCCACTCACTCACCCTGTCACCCACTCACTCACCCAGTCACTACCTGACCCAGTCGCCTGGGTGAATGATGGAGTGGGTGGGTGGTTGAGTGGGTGGGTGGGTGAGTGAGTGGACAAGTGAGTTGGTGGATGAGTGAGTGGGTGGGTGGATGAGTGGGCGGATGGATGAGCGAGTGGGTGGGTGAATGAGTGGGTGGGTGGGTGGGTGAGTGGGCAAGTGAGTGGTTTGATGAGCGAGTGAGTGGGTGAATGAGTGGATGGGTGAGTGAGTGGACAAATGCGTTGGTGGATAAGCGAGTGGGTGGGTGGATGAGTGGGCGGATGGATGAGCGAGTGGCTGGGTGAATGAGTGGGTGGGTGCGTGAGTGGGCAAGTGAGTGGGTGGATGAGTGAGTGAGTGGGTGAATGAGTGGGTGGGTGGGTGAGTGGGTGGGTGGGTGAGTGGGCAGTGAGTGGGTGGGTGAGCGAGTGGGTGGGTGAATGAGTGGGTGGGTGGGCAAGTGAGTGGGTGGATGAGCGAGTGTGTAGGTGGATGAGTGGGCAGATGGATGAGTGAGTGGGTGGGTGAATGAGTGGGTGAGTGGGTGGGCAAGTGAGTGGGTGGATGAGCGAGTGGGTGGGTGAATGAGTGGGCGAGTGGGTGGGTGAGTGAGGGGTGGGTGGGTGAGTGGGTGGGTGGGTGAATGAGTGGGTGAGTGAGTGGGTGAGCGAGTGGGCAAGTGAGTAGGTGGATGAGCGAGTGGGTGGGTGAATGAGTGGGTGAGTGGGTGGGCAAGTGAGTGGATGGATGAGCGAGTGAGTAAGTGAGTGGGTGAATGAATGGGTGAATGAGTGGGTGGGGGGGTGGGCAAGTGAGTGGGCGGATGAGCGAGTGGGTGGGTGAATGAGTGGGTGAGCGAATGGGCAAGTAAGTGTGTGGATAAGCGGGTGGGTGAGTGGGCGAGTGGGTGGGTGGGTGAGCGAGTGGGCGGGTGAATGAGTGAGTGTATGGGTAGGTGAGCGAGTGGATGGATGCGTGAGTAAGTGGGCGAGCGAGTGGGTGGATGAGTGGGTTGGTGGCTGAGTGAGTTGACAAGTGAGTTGGTGGATGAGCAAGTGGGTGGGTGAATGAGTGGGTGGGTGGGTGGGTTAATCAGTGGGTGGATGGGTGAGTGCGTGAGTGGGCAAGTGAGTGGGTGGATGAGCGAGTGGGTGGGTGGATGAGTGGGCGGATGGATGAACGAGTGGGTGGGTGAGTGAGTGGGTGGATGTTGAGTGGGTGTGCGAGCGAGCGAGTGGGTAGGTGAATGAGTGGGTGTGTGTGTGTGAGTGAGTGGGCAAGTGAGTGGGTGGATAAGCGAGTGGGTGAGTGGATGAGCGAGTGGGTGGGTGAATGAGCGAGTGAGTGGGTGGTTGAATGAGTGGGTGGGTGGATGGGTGGACAAGTGAGTGGGTAGATGAGCGAGTGGGTGGGTGAATGATTGGGTGAGTGAGACGAGGCCCTGTGGAGCGAGTGGGGGGGGGGGGGTGTTAATTGATCCGCGTTCGTTAACAAAGCAGCAGCAGCAGTAGCAGCAGCAGCAGCGCCTCGTAGCCGTGTGGCCCTCCAGCCAATTAGCGAGATGACGCAGCCGGGCGAGCTGATGGGGATTGTGGTGGCGGTGGTGGTGGTGGTGGCGGTGGTGGTGGCGGTGGCGCTAACGGCGACTCTCAGAGGCAACCCCGGGTGGGCCACGGTTCATCACCGGACCCGATGGTGACGGCGTGAGAGCGGTGGGGGGGGGGTGGTGGGGGGTTGTGGGGCGGGGGGGGCAGATGATGGGGGAGAAGGGGCGGAGAGGTGGGAGAGAGGGGGAGAGAGAGGGGGGAGGGAGACAGGGCATAGAGAGTGTGAGAGAGCGGGGGAGGAAGGCGAGAGAGAGCCGGGGAAAGAGAGGGGCGGGGGGAGACGGGGGGGGGGGGACATGTATATAAGAGTGAAGGGGAATTAAAGAGAGAGAGAAAGAGAGAGAGAGAGAAAGAGAGAGAGAGAGAAAGAGAGCGAGAGAGAAAGAGAGAGAGAGAAAGAGAGCGAGAGAGAGAGAGAGAAAGAGAGAGAGAGAGAAAGAGAGAAAGCGAGAGAGAGAGAAAGCGAGAGAGAGAGAGAAAGAGAGAGAGAGAAAGAGAGAGAGAGAGAAAGAGAGAGAGAGAGAAAGAGAGCGAGAGAGAGTGAGAGAGAGAGAGAGCGAGAGAGAGAGAGAAAGAGAGAGAGAGCGAGAGAGAGAGAGAGAGAAAGAGAGAGAGAGAGAAAGAGAGCGAGAGAGAGTAAGAGAGAGAGAGAGAAAGAGAGCGAGAGAGAGAGAGAAAAAGAGAGAGAGAGATGTGTGGTGTTGTGTTCTTTCGCACCGTACATCGCCAACCGTAGCCAATCGAAGGTGCGCGGGGAAGGACAACAAACTGAACACAACAACAACAACAACAAAAAGCAGCGGTTTCAAAGAAATCCGTTCCCTATCTCGATTTAAAATGTGGAATCGGCGACACGCGTGTAGGTAGAGAGAGAGAGAGAGATCACCACCACGGTCATCGTCATCAAGCAGTGGATAGATCACTGAGATAGAGAGGGGGTGAGAGTGCGGAAGAGAGAGGGGGGGGGAGGGGGAGGGGAATTCTATGGGTCTCTGTGTGAGTCTACGACTTTCCACACGAGTCTATGGGTCTCTATACGAGTCTATGAGTCTCCATGCGAGCCTATGAATCTCCACACAAGTCTATGGGTCTCTGTACGAGTCTATGAGTCTCTACACATGAGTCTATGGGTCTCTATGCGAGTCTATGAGTCTCTATGTGAGTCTATGAGTTTCGATGCGGGACTATGGGTCTTTACACTTGAGTCTATGAGTCTCTATGTGAGTCTGTGAGTTTCGACGCGGGACTATGGGTCTTTACACTTGAGTCTATGAGTCTCTATGTGAGTCTGTGAGTTTCGACGCGGGACTATGGGTCTTTACACTTGAGTCTATGAGTCTCTATGTGAGTCTATGAGTCTCTGTGCGAGTCTATGGGTCTCTATGCGAGTCTATGAGTCTCTATGCGAGTCTATGAGTCTGTGCGAGTCTGTGGGTCTCTATGTGAGTCTATGAGTCTCTGTGCGAGTCTATGAGTCTCTATGCGAGTCTATGGGTCTCTATGCGAGTCTATGAGTCTCTATGCGAGTCTGTAGATCTCTGTGAGTCTATGGGCCTCGCCACACGAGTCTATGGGTCTCCACACGAGTCTGTGGGTCTCTATGCGAGTCTATGGGTCTCTGTGCGAGTCTATGGGTCTCTATGCGAGTCTATGGGTCTCTATGCGAGACTATGGGTCTCTATGCGAGTCTATGAGTCTCTGTGCGAGTCTGTGGGTCTCTATGTGAGTCTATGGGTGTCGCCACACGAGTCTATGGGTCTCCACACGAGTCTATGGGTCTCTACACACGAGTCTATGGGTCTCTACACATGAGTCTATGGGTCTCTACACACGAGTCTATGGGTCTCTACACACGAGTCTATGGGTCTCTACACGAGTCTATGGGTCTCTACATGAGTCTATGGGTCTCTACATGAGTCTATGGGTCTCTACACACGAGTCTATGGGTCTCTACACGAGTCTATGGGTCTCTACATTAGTCTATGGGTCTCTACATGAGTCTATGGGTCTCTACATGAGTCTATGGGTCTACACACGAGTCTATGGGTCTCTACATGAGTCTATGGGTCTCTACATGAGTCTGTGGGTCTCTACATGAGTCTATGGGTCTCTACACTAGTCTATGGGTCTCTACACACGGGTCTATGGGTCTCTACACGAGTCTATGGGTCTCTACACACGAGTCTATGGGTCTCTCTACACGAGTCTATGGGTCTCTACATGAGTCTATGGGTCTCTACGCGAGTCTATGGGTCTCTACGCGAGTCTATGGGTCTCTACATGAGTCTATGGGTCTCTACATGAGTCTATGGGTCTCTACACACGAGGCTATGGGTCTCTACATGAGTCTATGGGTCTCTCCACACGAGTCTATGGGTCTCTACACGAGTCTATGGGTCTCTACGCGAGTCTATGGGTCTCTACATGAGTCTATGGGTCTCTACATGAGTCTATGGGTCTCTACACACGAGGCTATGGGTCTCTACATGAGTCTATGGGTCTTCACACGAGTCTATGGGTCTCTACACGAGTCTATGGGTCTCTACACACGAGTCTATGGGTCTACACACGAGTCTATGGGTCTACACACGAGTCTATGGGTCTCTACACGAGTCTATGGGTCTCTACACACGAGGCTATGGGTCTCTACATGAGTCTATGGGTCTTCACACGAGTCTATGGGTCTCTACACACGAGTCTATGGGTCTACACACGAGTCTATGGGTCTACACACGAGTCTATGGGTCTACACACGAGTCTATGGGTCTCTACACACGAGTCTATGGGTCTCTGCACACGAGTCTATGGGTCTCTACATGAGTCTATGGGTCTCTACATGAGTCTATGGGTCTCTACACACGAGTCTATGGGTCTCTACACACGAGTCTATGGGTCTCTACATGAGTCTATGGGTCTCTACACACGAGGCTATGGGTCTCTACATGAGGCTATGGGTCTCTCTACACGAGTCTATGGGTCTCCACACGAGTCTATGGGTCTCTACACACGAGTCTATGGGTCTCCACACGAGTCTATGGGTCTCTACATGAGGCTATGGGTCTCTCTACACGA